TCGGTGGGACCTCCAACGAGACAGGACAAGGAGCTGGCAGGAACCCCGGCAGGAGAGTAGACGGCGGGACCTCCAACGAGACAGGACAAAGGGTTGGCAGGACCCCCGGCAGGAGAGTAGTCGGCGGGGCCTCCAACGGCACAGGACAAAGGGTTGGCAGGACCCCCGGCAGGAGAGTAGTCGGCGGGACCTCCAACGAGACAGGACAAAGAGCTGGCAGGACCCCCGGCAGGAGAGTAGACGGCGGGACCTCCAAGGGGACAGGACAAAGGGTTGGCAGGACCCCCGGTAGGAGAGTAGTCGGCGGGGCCTCCAACGGCACAGGACAAAGGGTTGGCAGGACCCCCGGCAGGAGAGTAGTCGGCGGGACCTCCAACGAGACAGGACAAGGAGCTGGCAGGACCCCCGGCAGGAGAGTAGACTGCGGGACCTCCAACGGGACAGACATACGATTGGTAGGACCCTCGGCAGAGGAGTAGTCGACGGGGCCTCCAACGGGACAGGACATGGAGTTGGCAGGACCCCCAGCGGAACCTCCAACGGACCAGGACATTGGGTAGGGACTTGAGACGTGACTCGAGAAGGGACTCGAGAGGAGACTCGAGAGGAGACTCGAGAGGGGAACCAAGGGGGAACTCGAGACATGACTCGAGAGGGGACTCGAGACATGACTCGAGAGGGGACCCAAGGGGGAACTCGAGAGGGGACTCGAGAGGGGACTCGAGAGGAGACTCGAGAGGAGACTCGAGAGGGGACCCAAGGGGGGAACTCGAGAGGGGACTCGAGAGGGGACTCGAGAGGAGACTCGAGAGGAGACTCGAGAGGGGAACTAGAGAGGGGACTAGAGGAGGGACTAGAGGAGGGACTAGAGGAGGAACTAGAGAAGGGAACTCGAGAGGGGACTTGGGAGGGGAACTAGAGAGGGGACTCGAGAGGGGACTAGAGAGGGGACTAGAGCAGGGACTAGAGGAGGGACTAGAGGAGGGACTAGAGGAGGGACTAAAGGAGGGACTAGAGGAGGGACCCGGAGAGGGGACTCGAGAGGGGACTCGAGAGGGAACTGGAGAGGGGACTCGAGAGGGGACTGGAGAGGGGACTCGAGAGGGGACTCGAGAGGGGACTCTGGTAGGAACTTGAGAGGTGACTAGAGAGGGGACTCGAGAAGGGACTCGAGAGGGGACTTGAGAGGGAACTGGAGAGGGAACTGGAGAGGGAACTGGAGAGGAGACTTGAGAGGGGACTCGAGAAGGGATTTGAGAGGAGACTGGAGAGGAGACTTGAGAGGGGACTCGAGAAGGGATTTGAGAGGAGACTGGAGAGGGGACTAGAGAGGGGACTCGAGAGGGGACCCGAGAGGGGACCCGAGAGGGGACCCGAGAGGGAACTCGAGAGGGGACCCGAGAGGGAACTCGAGAGGGGACCGAGAGGGAACTCGAGAGGGGACCCGAGAGGGGACCGAGAGGGAACTCGAGAGGGGACCCGAGAGGGAACTCGAGTGGGGACCCGAGAGGGAACTCGAGAGGGGACTCGAGAGGGAACTCGAGAGGGGACTCGGGTAGGAACTCGAGAGGGGACATGAGTCGGTCGGTACGCCGACAGGACACGGGGAGCTGGCGTTGTCATGCCATGTAGCCGAAACTGGAGTCGAGCCCATGGCCTCCGGGGCCGATACTGAAGCCGGAACCATGGCTGCTGGGGCCGGAACCATGGCTGCGGGGGCCGGAATTGAAGCCAGAATCATGGCTGTAAGGTCCGGTTCTGGAGCCGGAAACATGGCTGTAAGGTCCGGTTCTGGAGCCGGAAACATGGCTGTAAGGTCCGGTTCTGGAGCCGGAAACATGGCTGTAAGGTCCGGTTCTGGAGCCGGAAACATGGCTGAATGGGCCGGCTCTGGAGCCGGAATTGAAGCCAGAATCATGGCTGCTGGGTCCGGCGCGGAAGCCTGGACCCTGGCTGTGTAAGCCAGGTAATCCAGTATGGACGCAAAGCTGCGTGGGCCGGTATTGGAGCATGGAGGCATGGCTGCTGGGTCCGGCACTGGAGCCGGAACCATGGCTGTTGGGGCCTGTACTGGAGCCGGAACCATGGCTGCTGGGGCTCGGGCTGCTAGCCTGGCCTTGCGACGACTCCTCTTAGCAGCCTCCTGAATACTCCGTGGACCTCCATAAGCCAGACGAGTTCCGGAATACGACTCCTGGACAGGAGCAGGAACTGGGGCAGAAGCACGGGTTGACTTCAGGTGGAACCCACCAAGGCGTATGGTGCCAGATTGGGAAATGGGAGACAGGGAGCTAGCATGCCTGGGGCTAGCAGGCCGGGAATCACATGCTTGAAGGAAGTCCAAAATCCAGTCAGGTAAGAACTCTACAAAATATGGGTTCTCTGCTGCCAACCGGAGCGCCTCTACCAGAGCGGCCCTCTTCTGCCGAACACTGGACGCTCCCTTCCACCAATCGAAGCAGCAAGCCAGATAGAAAGTTAAATGCTGTAATTCAACCTCCCATGGATCATCTGCTGGGTCCAATTTGTGGTCGGTTCGTTCTGTCACGGTGTGTGAAGCAGGTAGGACCCAAATGCAGATAAAGTGAAACTTCCTTTATTTCAAGGCTAGGTGAACAACAAAGACAAAACAGAACACTCACCAACGAACTAGTCATGACAAAAGACGAACCGACAAAGACAGACAGAAAAAACAGAACTTAAATACACACAAGACTAATCACAGAAACAAGACACAACACAGACAGAAACAGGCAAGACAGGAAGTGAAGACCTTTCAACATAAAACATGAAACAAGACAAGACACCATAAAGACAGATCGTGACAAAAACACTTCTGTTTCTGACTGATAATAATCTCAACTCCATTATTCAAAGAGGGAAATGAGTGACAGGTTCACCTTTTTACTTTTGAAGGTCATCTCATTCATCTCCAGAAAAAGCCCTTAGGTGAAAGCCAAGTCTATCATCCACTATATCTTCTATCGACTTCTAAAGCTGAATGATATCCAGTCTGCCTCATACACAGAGGCCACTGTGCCCAACACCATATAGCTGTAATTTAATCTGGCTTTAATTATAGTTCAATAAATCATCATCATTATAGCTGCCTCCAAGGCCATGTTCATCTTTTATATTATTTTCTACTATCCTTGCCTCAAACATACTATCACTACTTTCACTTACTAAACAATGTTGACATCTTAAACTTCTGTTATTTTTTAAATACGTTTAAAATAGATCGTTTCAAACACTTCAATCCAAGCTCAATTGAAAACTATTATAATGAACTGTTAATCATTATAGGTCCAAACAAACCCAGGGCTTATTATATTTCACTGCATGATCTCACTCTGCTTTGTTTTGTAAATGTGTTTGCTTTGTCCGTGAGGAAATCTAATTCCTAAACAGATGTTCTCATTCTGCATAACCACATATGTGGAAGATAAATTCAGTCTATACTAATTATAATTATATTAAATAACAAGATTTTTCAATATAAAATGTTAAATCTTCATAAAATATGGCAAAAACACTGATGGAGATTTATTTTACTAGTGTCCTTCTATTCATTCTCCACTGGTGTCCTTGCCTCAGTTCATGTTTCTCTGTATGCACAGGCAGCAGAGTTTGGCCTTAGACCTTGAGCACCTGTAGGAGATGAACTGGTGCCTGTTTCCTTAAACTCTCTTCATCCGCTGTGTTATGAGATGACCTCTTTACTTCTGAATATGCAAGAAACAAGATTGGAATTTACACACGGCATCTATTGCACGTCTGTCCGTCCTGGGAGAGGGATCCCTCCTCTGTTGCTCTCCCTGAGGTTTCTCCCATTTTTCCCTTTAAACTGTGGATTTTCTCCGGAAGTTTTTCCTTGTACGATGTGAGGGTCTAAGGACAGAGGGTGTCGTATTGTCATACTGATATTCTCTACAAACTGTGAAGTCCACTGAGACAAATGTAACATTTGTGATATTGGGCTATATAAATAAACATTGATTGATTGATTGGAAACAGTCTCTTCTTCAGGTAATGATATGCAATGAGTCAGAATGTCAATCTTATCTGATCGCTGACCTATGGGGCCTGCTTCCCTGTAAGAAACGTAAATATATGTATTGCTGATGGAATGTTGGATTACTGGCTTTCTTTTGGTTAAAGGAACCATTTGGATTACATAATCTCAGAGCTGGTTGGGCAAAGGTTGTGTAACAGGAAATGTCTTTGTCAATTCCCAAGCCGTAACTTCCAATGAATGTCAGGGTCTCAAATCAGATCGAAGCTCTCCTGTCTCCGTTGGTTCCAATTATTTGCTACAAGAGATTCATCAAAAAATTAAAATAAAAGAGGTGTGTCCTACTTGTCCAGCATGTGGATTTGTACTGACTTTATAATCATATTATAGAATGTCATAAATTAAATACTAAAGTATGATGAAAATATCATGGAAAACGTCATAGATGTTGTGACAAAATAGTATAATTTGTAGAAAATATCATGAAAAAAAGAATAGTGTAGTACGTCAAAAATATAATAAAAAAAGATTTCAATGCTAACAAAACATTATGTTTTGTAAGGACACACACACATATATTAAGCTGTTAGTCTAAAAAGAGTAGAAAATACTTATTTAAACAATGTACTTTTGTACAATTTGTTGTGTTTGCCCAAACGGCTTTAACTTCTAAAGTAGCTGCTGATGATTATTTTTTCACTATACCAAGGAAATGAAAATGTTTGAACTTGAGGCTCTTTTCCCTATGAAGTGCGATTAAATTATTTAGTGTTCAGCTAATCTGTCAATGTGACACAAATCTCTTCCCAGTGCAGACCAAAAGGAAACAACACTGATAGAGATGTAATGCGTGAAGGGCTTTGTGGACACGGGCGGAATTTTTAACTCACACAACAAACATTTTGACATTTGATATACAAGTATGAGGAAAGGCAGGCTTTCATAGAAAAGGAAACAATTCAAAAAAAATCTTATGACAGACCAATTATTTGACTCAGCTAGCTTTAATTATGGCACTTTGTACAGGTCATGTTATAAACTCAACATTCTGGGTTTGTCCAGAACATGAAGACATCAAGAGAACATGGCATCTTTAAAAAAAAAAAAAGCATCTAGAAGCTGCTTCATTTTAACCACACAAACAATAGAAATGTCAGTATAGAATCGTTATTCCATACTTTAGTCAAGCCACATAGATAATCGGTTTTGTGTCAATAAACCCAATAAAGTAGACTTACATTCTTACAAGTCTATTTTGATATGATACGCACATGCTGATATGTACTTGAAAGGAGCTAATGTTCTTCGTAATCGTCTCTCCGCTCCCTGCGGACTGTAAATATCCTCACCTAAAGTCATTTCAGAAATAATTGCAAAGGGACAAGATCCTTGTTCTGTGAAATTATAACATTTGAAGTTCAGCTGACACAAAGAAAAGGCTTCAACAGTCTGATTCACCTAGAGAAGAAATTCAGTTAACTTTCCTCTTGTCCATTGCTGAGCCACATCGAAGGGATAGTAACAAAAACTGAACATTTTGTACAAAAAAGAATAAATCTGAAACAAACCATTTGATTTAGCTAACTTACTCAGGGTACTTTTGAACACATGTGTTTTCATTAGTTATTAAACTGTGTCTCTTGAGAAACAGTGATCACATAAGGTTTGGCATGTTTGCTTGATAATTGAATTAAATTAGGATTTAATTAAAGTATCTGCTGATAAAGACAAAGGATTTGCAATCCATGGATATCATGTCATCCTCCCTTTTTTGTTTTTGAAAACAGGAAGTGAATGTGACATCCACACACACACTTTGTGCACGGTATTATTCTACACACAAACGGATGTGGGTTCCCAGGGATCAAAGGTAAACAGGTTGCATTGAAGTGCTACGCCATCTTTCGTTGGCACACGAGGAGGTCACATTTACAATATTTACATCTGAGACTGAGGAATCAGTTTTCATGCGTGTCCCATAAACAAACTGTTCTGTAGAAAATGAAATTCTCACATTCCATTTGATAATATTTTGTTTCCGTCCATGTGTGGAAATTATATTCAGTGAAAAAACACAGTAGTTTAAAATTACATTAACTTAACTTCATATATAATTTTCTCCTGTTTTTCTGAATGTTTCGTTGTATATAATACTGTAGAGGACCAGTAAGAATTAAGAGGAAGCATTCTGTGATGAATTGAGTTGAATAAACCTTAAAAAAACATGCTACTAAAGGTACTCCAACAAGAGTCACAATAAAGCTGACTGACTGAGCAATCCTCTGAGTGGGACCCCAAACTTGCCACTCTCTGTGACAGCGTGGGGAATTAAAACACTTCTAAAACTACAAACTTGCATCTTTCCCTTGTCTTTGAAGTAGATCAATAATTTAAAAATAATAAATATGACTTGAAGTGACAGTGACACTGTGATTTCTGGGCAACGAGAGCTATCTTCTGCTGCAGAACCCCAGACAACGAGGTATTTCTCCGACTCATCGTCTCCTTATTGTGCATTAGTTTGTGGCTGATCCTGCATCAGTCAGAGTTCAACGCCCCCCGAGGCAGGGGAGCAGGTCTTTAGGGGAGGGGTATCGGCTCATTAGGAGAGGACTGGTGCAGGATTTGGTTGAAGTGGTTGTGAAGTTCTTCTGGAAGTTAGGTTTAGGTCCGCACCCAGCTGATAGGCACCCAGAAGGACTCTCGCTCCAGCCTCTCCAAGATACCTCTCAGTTCTGCACAGGCACTGGCTGAGTCCTCCTTGATCAGGACCCGGTCCACCAGTTGTCCATACTGCTGATCAATCTGAATGGCAGACTGACGCATCTCTTGGAGGTCTTCGTCCTGTTGCAGAAAAACAAGGTAAAAGCTGGTCGTTACAGCCGGTGGCAAAAACAATGTAATTAGATCCTTTAGATCAGGGGTGTCAAACTCAAGGCCCCCGGGCCAAATCCAGCCCGCGACTTCATTTTATGCGGCCCCCAAGAGCTTGCAAAGAATATAATATGTTTATTATACGCTTTACAGAAGCAGGTTGCCCATTTAATACATGTCCCACAATGCATCTCATTTTGTGACATGCACACTGAAGAGACTTGCAATTATTTGCCCTAGACTTCTGCTTTCAGACGTAGTTAATTATGAAGTTATTACCCTATCTGATTATAATCCAATGCAGAGGCAAAAATGTAATATATTACATTATTTATATATATTATATATTTATATAGTCTTAAAGTTACAACTGGCCCTTAGTGTGCAACCTTAATGCTAATGTGGCCCGCAATGAAATTAAGTTTGACACCCTTGCTTTAGACCCTCCAATAGGTTCCTGTCAAAGGTTAACTGTTACAGTATTTATGATGTGTTTTCGGATTATTATCAGTGCTATGTATGTTGCATTTTAATGTTGTAGATGTTTAAGGTTGTGCTAATTATAGCTCCTTTAAATACAGTTGGGACATTTAAATTAGAGCAATGCTACAGTAGGAGTCACACTCTTGGCTAATGAATCTGAATCTAAATATAATTGTTGTTACATTAAACAGTACACAATACATACTGGTGTAAAATATATGCTATCTTTCTGAGCCACTGAATGGGGACACAGTTCTGCAGAGAGACATTGCAGGACTCACTGTTACGCGGCCACGCTCCCCCCCTCCTGGTGAAGTGGCAGCGCTGCGGCGACGTCTGCTCTCCGGAACACGAGGTTTGACAAATATTACATAGGGCTTGAATTCTGCTGTCCGCAGCCTCTTCAGGGCCTGGAGTGATGGAGGGTTTGCATACGATAGAGCACAGAACGGACACAAATCAGACATGATAGGAGAGGGTCAACAGAGAAACCTCAGACACAGTGAGCAGATCTGATGTGACTGCCTACATTCTGCACACTGCTGCTGCCTGCAGGATCTGTAGCGCAGGACATGACATGATACATGTGGATGAAGATTAAACATGAAGTGCTCAGCTGTTGCAGCATGACCCTCACCTCAGGCTGAACGTCCACCACACACATTTTATTCTTGGCCTGCACAGAGCGGATAGCCTCTATACTGGTGCCATACTGGTTCTCCTTGTATTCCCCATGCTCTATGAACCTGTGGAGAAACAACAAACATTTAAATCAGCAGGGAACCAATCTTATATGTTTACACATAAATTATGAAACTTTCATATTTTCTATACTAAGCAGGTTTAAGGTTTATTTTTGTTCGGGCCACAAATCATTTCTCACATGTATATTTACAAAATACTTAGTAGTATCCTAGAAATTAAGTTGTTCAAGTCCTCTGTTTCAATGTCAATGGTGCTGATAGCTTAAAAAACAAAACTGAAATATATTTTTTACACATTATTTTTAGCAGTTTCTTTGCTTAGTTCTAGGATAAATGTAGTATTTCTTAAAGGATATAGTTTCATTTTAAATCAACAATGTTCTATGTTTAAGTATACGGTACACAAAGTATCGGTGTAAACGTACTTGTTGTTTAAAGCATCTGCATCAAACTGCTGTTTGGTGACGAAGTGGTACTCCACACCCTCCTTCTCATGAGGCTTCTTGGGCCTGGTGGTATCTGTCGGAACACAACAAGGAATTTACTTGAATGTTTATTGTTGAAGCCATTTTGCATATTGACCTTATTTATATTTATAATGAAATATTATTAATGTTTTGTAAGTGTTATTTTACTATGCAGAGGATGTAATGGATTTGCCTGTGTTTATATATATATATTATTGTTATGATTGATGTTGGTGATGAATTATAGTGACATTACTTATAGGTGTGGGTTTGGCCCTTTAATTTAGGAAAGGTGAACAGGTGCTCACTATGAGTGGAAGGGCAAATAATGTTCCACCGCAAAGAAACCGCATGGTGATCTCTGCATGATACAAGTATTACGCTGTATGTTTACTATCTTCTCAGTTTTCTTTAAATAAACGGACGACAATGTATCTTTAATGTGTATGCATGTTGTCATATCATTCATTATAATATGGGTTAATTGATCATTAAGTGTGTGTATAACTCACGTGGTACAGCCACTGCAAAACGATGTGGGTTTTCAGCAATCACCCGCTGTTTGAGTTCATTGATTCGTGCTCCAAGGGATCCTTTGCAAGATTGTGTGTTGAAAGGAAAGAAAATAAACAAAACATTGATTTGACATGGATCATTTTGCTCCAACAACTATGTCATCAGTATGCTGTAACACACGCTTTTGTCCACTAGAGGTCCCTGCTGTTACAGGTCATTGATTGATTGATTGAAAAGTTTATTAACAGCTTGTATATTGGGTACAGTACAGTACAGCTCAAAACATACAATTGTTAAGGGGATGCAGACCAGAGAAAGACTTTCGTCTTGTTTACATCAGGGTCCCCCATTTCCAATTCATCATGTCATTTAAGACATATAAGACATATTTGACATACAGATGGCTTATTTACAATTTACATACAGGTGTTTTTTTACATACAGGTTGCTTATTTACAATTTTCATTTTAGATTTCGTTCTAATACATCCTAACCGGACATTTAAGACATACCAAGTCTACAGATATACAGTTAGTAACAGAGTCTAAAATGCGAGTATATACATAGATGGGGGGGGGGGAAGCTGTCCATTGTACGACAGGTTGAGATTTGTACCATTACCGGGGCCAGTTTTGCAATGCTCTCCCCCGAAGGTGCTCTTTAAGAGAGGTTTTGAAGGTAAGTATAGTTTTACTTTCCTTTACAGTTGTGGGAAGAGCGTTCCACCTTGATGTGGCATAATTGCGAAACGTGTATTCCCCCTTTTTTGTGCCAAATCTGGGTTTCACATGATTTGTGGAGCTCCCTCTGGTGTTATGATCATGGTATTCCTTGACCTTTGGGAAGAATTTTGACATGTACATGGGTACCATAGAGGTGTAGTGGATCTTGTAGACCAGGCCCATTGCAAGTAGCTGTACTCTGTCGTCTACTCTAAGCCATCCTAGGTTGTCAAAGTGGGCAGAGGTGAGGTGGGTTCTAGATGAAAGGTCAAGCAGTAGTCTGACCAGTTTATTTTGCGATGTTTGAAGTTTTATTTTTAGCGCCTTGGAGGTGCTATGGTACCATGACGTGCAAGCATAGTCATAGTACCCTTGAATGAGTGCTCCTGCCAGAGTTTTCAGGGTGTTTTTGTTTACCAGAGAGGAGATCCGGTATAGGAATCTAGTTCTTTGATTGACTTTTTTTATTACATTGGATGCCATTTTGTCACAGGAGAGGTTTGCCTCAAGAATAGATCCTAGGTATGTAATTTCCTTCTTACTTGTGACAATAATGTCGCCCACTGCATCTGAGAAGTCGTCGGATTTGCTGAGATTATGTTTCGAACCGAAGAGAATGGACTCTGTTTTACCCAGGTGTAATGATAATTTATTATCGGCGAGCCAGGTGCAGATTCTGGCGAGCTCGGAGCTGAGGGTTTTTTCAACCTGCAACCTGTTCCTGCCAGAGACCAGCAGGGCTGAGTCGTCCGCGAACAGGAACAAGTTGCAGTCACATGCTGATGACATGTCATTTACATAAATTAGGAACAGTAACGGACCTAATATGCTTCCTTGTGGAACACCACAGCTCACTGGGAGGGGGGGGACAGAGTACCGTTTACCTCCACCATCTGTTCTCTCCCCTCCAGGTAGGATTGCATCCAGCTCACCGATAGTTTATCAAAACCTATTTTGTCTAAACCTAGTCATGTGTGCCTCGGGGTCTCACCGATCAGGACCACCAGACGGGGCCTCTCATTGGGCCTCTGCTGGTAGCGGGAAACCTCTTCATAAGTCGTGTAGTCGCTGTCCCCAAAATCAGAGCCCTCTCCGGAGGAATCTTGCCTGTCCTTACGACTCAGCCGGAAACTCCTCCGTAAACCAGCTGCAGGGAAACCAGGGAAGGGAGGGAAAGAAGGAGCAGAAAGAAAAAACAAGTATTTTGTCAGATTTACTGTTTACACATGATTAGATAACATCGGTACACAACTTCACTGCCATGGTGCATTCATCTTAAAGCTTAGACAAATGTTATGAGATAAGTGCAACTGGCAAATGCTAAATCAATATTTACAATAAATTCAAGGCCAATCTACATCATGCATTAAAAAGACCTTTGTAAATAGTGCAGAGGGATAAAAATAGCTCACTCTTATTTGCAGTGTAAATACTTGATAGTGTGAGATATGAGCTGAACTCAGAGCCATTATACTTCATGCTTCAAATTGGATTACATGCAGCCGATAGTAAATGCATTAGGTGAAGCTGCTAGGGTATTACCTTGGTTGGTTATTGGCTAATGGTTACACAAGCCAAAAAATAAGATATGCGAAAAAACTAAGCTTTACTTCCATAATTCCAAGGTACCACAGGTGAGTATTTGATATACAAATGGTCATTTTGTGGCTTAAGTATTCCTTTAAATTCATGTTTATAAAAGGCATAGGCCTACAGTATAAACACCATTACAGCAGTTCAAGGCTGATATTAGTGAGCCGGAATAGACATCATTGTCCAACATAATGGTCCAAACAAGGCATGCTGCTCTGAGCGAGGCTACAGTGCTGAGGCAGGACAGACAGGACAGCCTGGCCCTGAGAAACACCGCGTCAGAGCAGAGAGTGACCAATCAGGGTCTCCCATGACCAGTACTGTCTGTTTCCCCCACCAGTGGTGTGTACCTGAGGAGGGAATGAGCCGGGCACTGTACCTGAATAAAATTCCCAGGAAAACACCTGGCCACAGGAGGGCGCCACTGCTTTACACTTAGGAGAGACTATAACTGGCGTTAGAGCATCACACAACCCAGCCTCACAGCTCCACACAGGGTGAACGAGCAGCAAACGTGCCAGGTTGAGTGTGAAATGCGTCCAACGCAGCAGGGCCCTTGTGTGTGTGTGGGGGGGAGGTTAGCAGGGTCGGTTAGTTTGATGCAGGGCGGGAGGGAAGGGGAGGTTCCAAACACTGCCAGGTGGAGGGGGGTGGGCGGAGGGATGAAGGGGAGGGTTTAAGGGTTTTACAGCTCCAAGCAGAGTGCATGATAGGAAGCACAAATACCGTTTTAATAATGTATTTTGCTTGGGAGAAGGTGCTGAGAGGTGTGTTTATATCGCTCCTTGTGCTCATCACCATTCCAGCAGCTCACAGGATGTGGGGGAGTAAATGGGGGTCTGAAGAAGGGTGAGGGAGGGACGGCCAGTTGAAGGCAAGAGAGGGGTTGAGGATAAAGTGGATTATTGTACCAGAAAGTGTTCTGTAAAGAACTGTTATTTGGTCCTAAATAAGGCGTTTTTTTTAAACAGGTCTGTTAACTTACAACCTTAGTACATTTTCATGTATTCATATTCTATGTGGGGCCTTACAAAAACACTTTTTATTCTACTAGGTGTTAAGTGTATCTATTGAACACCGTCATTTGACCCTATAAAATTATGAAAATAAATCACTTATTTATAAATGTGACAGTCTAATTTTGATTGCTTTAACACTTTGAGGTGTCCCTGAACCATCTGTTTATGCTATTGATGCAGCACTTAAGAGTTAGATGTGTTGCTTTAGAGTCTTTCCTCTGCCAAAATAAATTGAGATATTCATTTTCTCATCCATCCTCCTTCTCTTGCATTGTCTTTGAACCTGTCTCTTGAACCTTTAAAACCTTCACAACTTCCTCTTATCCCTCAACCCCGGCCCCAGACAGGTCAACCTTACACAAGCAGTGGTTTTAACCCCCCCGGCCCAGAAGCACCCAGGGAACCAGCGCACAGCCAGGCTGCAGCAGGCAAAGAGCTGACAGGGAGAAGGAGGTGGAGAAAGATGTGCACGCTCTCACCTATGTACTGTCCATTGAAATAGCCCTCACAGTCACAGTCCTCTGTAGGGAGGCAAGCAGGGAAAAGAGGGGGTAAGCACAGGGTAAGAGACCTGGAAGAGTTAAGGAGTAGGGGGGAGGTGGAAGAGTTAAAGAGGGGAGCGGGCCATGGAGGCGCTGGGTAGAGCAGGCGGGGCAGACAGGCAGCAAGCAGGCACACAGCAGGAGGCGAGGGGCGACGGGCAGCCAAGAGACAATGAAGGAACGTCGTTCGAGGCAACGTCCACTAACTAATAAGGGAGGAAGAAAAATACCAGAGGAGAGGAGAGTAGGAAAAAGTTGGCTTTCCATCATCTGGAAGCAGCCAGCTGTGTGTGAGCCGAGTCGCTGTGACCCCCAAACACACACACATGTAAATAAACCTCGCCTCCCAAAGATTCACAGCTGACGTACAAACAGTCTCACATAGAAAAAACACTACTTGTTGTCTGAATTCTGTCCTTTCAACTCATTTTATGTATGACAATATGCATTGTTTTAAGAGAATGAGAAACACAGAAGAACGTTGTAAACAGCAGATTGGGACTGCAGCAGATCAAATAAAGATGAGGAGGAAAACAGAACAAAAGATAATAGGGACAGAGAATGACGCAAAGGAAAAGAGGAGCTATTGTTATCTTTAACAACCTCTGCTTGGTTGGGCTATAGTCTCCTGGGATGCTTTTCTGCCTGCACATCACCTGGTGCGACACACACACGCACGTATACGCACACTAGGCGAGAACGTCTATTCTATATTCTAGTCTGGTGCGCTAACAGCAGGAGGGGAGGAATTAAGCTGGAAGCTAAATAAATCCCAAATGGGCCCCTTACTAACACACATGCAAGTTTTCTACACACAAACACACACATTGAGGCTTTGATGCTTCTATGAACATTTCCTTTTGAGTGTTTTGTGTAAAAATGTGTCTTTGTGTTCTAGTCCAATCATATGTGTTGCTGCACAGTTACCCACCTTTATCACATCCTTGCTCATCTGGTAGAGTTTGCAACAAAGAGACACAAAGTGTGACACATTAGAGAAGGTAAAGCTGAAGGTAGCAGATGGAAGAAGGAGAATTTGGATATTTATGAAATGAGGATTTTACTATTGAAGAGATTTATTGTCATTGCGTATGACGAGAGAAATGAGGGTAGAGGGGGAGAGGGGCGGGTCACATTTAAAGGGCCCCCGCAGGGATTTAGGGGAATGAATCAGGGAGCTGGAGGAGCATGAGGGAGGCCGAGAGAGAAGAGTCCCCCAGGCTCGCTGTAGCGTGGCGTAGCAGGGCTAGCTAACACACTGATAAGCTATTGTTGTCTTCCCTTGGCTCAGACCTAATCGGATCGTTGGCAGCTTACACGCCACGAAGAGCCACCACTCATATTACCCACTCACCTGGCGGTTTACATGCCGATAAAGTGAGAGCGTTATGTATTGTTGAGGCTTTGTTTCCCACTGGGCGTGATGTCTAACGCTGTCTAGATTATTGTCTTTTATTGTGATTGAAGTAATGTGTTTTTATTACATGTACAGCACTTTAGCTCGACCAAAAATCGCTTTTAAATATGCTTTATAAATAAAACTTGATTTGATTTGTCTGATTCGACTTAAGCTGCTCGCTGGCCAGATGGACGAACATGAAAGAGATTCATTCATAACTGTGTGATCTGTCCCTCCGTCTTATTCGCCTCTGTGCCCCTCCATCTTATTCGCATCCCTTTCAAAAACGTTGTCTACATAGCAATATGGAGAAGACGGTCAATGAATACTAATGCCTCTGAGTATGCCAATTACCAACAGAAAAGGTCAATAAATGTCAATGAAGACATTGCTGCATTTATCCAGCGGAGATATCATTGTCCCATAATGACAGTGGCCAAGTACATGAGGAGAGGAGAGGAGAGAGAGGCTGCGGGTAGTACACTACTGTGTTGATTAAATAATGCTGAAGATGCAGTTGAATCCTGAGAAGCAGAAACTTACAGGCAGGCTTTTTAGGGGATTTTGGATTCGGGAGTGTGCCCATTTTCATCCTGTAGGCCAGTCGCCTGGAGAAATATGCGGCAGAAGAGAGAGCCAGAGAGGATGGAGCAGGAAGAGAGTCATCAGCAAGCAAAAGATGGGGAGGGAATGTTAGAAAGTTGGAACAAAAGATTTCAACATGAAAGAGGAAAATACAACACAAATGAACAGATCATGAGAGCCTGGGCACAAACATGGTAAAGACCCACTGTCCATCCTCCATAAGAGGAAGGACCCAAACTGAGAGAAACACAAAACACATTTAGGTCTCTGCCTTCTTTTTTCATCTATGGGATTATTGTGTGTCTCTTTTGGGTCCTAGCCATCTATGTGTGGTCCTTATTACTCCACTTTGTGGCTTTGTTAGTTTTCTGTCTCCTTGTTGTGTTTTTGGGTCTCAGTGGTCTTTTTACGTCTCTATGTCTCGTCCAGGTGTTTTTGTTGTCTATACACTGGTTTTGTTTTACTTCGCTTTGACTTCGAGGAGATCATTTTATACTGTCACTTCAAGCTGAAGCATTGTTTCGGTTAGGCCTGTTCCGTAATTTATCAATGATGATATAATGTCAGCAAGCAGACCCGAGCATATGCTATTTTTGTTCAATCAAGCTGAAACATTTAAAGACATTTTTCTCAATCAGACTTGTTGAACATCTATTTAAACAACAAAACACCCATATACGCTTATCAGGGCCTGGATAGCTCTCTGACCTGTGTTTAAGCTGTTGTTATTACTCCAACAGACGCTGCAGTGTTTGGCAGGGATATCCCAGCCAGCTGAGATCATCTTTCTGACAGATTATGACACTAACAGTATCAGCACGACTGCTTTGATGCTCCATGTAATCATGGTTGACCCTTCAAAGTGGAACACATGAATGTGGATCTGACAGTTTACATAACATAAATACCAGCACAGTGTGGGGTCCTGGCACTTATCTATTCACACCACAGGTCGTTGGGACACATGATGTGACACCCCGCCCTCACCTCTCCTGGAACAGTTTGGAGGGGATGAGTCCAGCCCGCAGGTTGCTGTCTCCCACACGCTTGGCCTGCCACCACGTGTGGTCGTCCTGGGTCACCACCTGTAGGATGTCCCCCCGTTTGAAGGGAAGTCCTGCTTCTTGGCAAGGCGTTGCTTTGTCTTCCAAAGGGATGTAGTCAAACAATGCTCTCATATACACCTGTAATCAAAAACATGAAGCACCAAGTTCAGATGATTCTTTTATTTAGGTAATTAAAATAAAATACTTCAAAAACATGTCGGGCATTGTTTCTGATAGCAACGTTTCTGATAGGGCCGTGGGCCAGCCCACATTTACGATATTATGTACATTTTTTGTTTTCTGACACTTTGTGAGTATCCTTACACACCGGGGACACATAATTGTGTATAAAAGACATAAACATCTTTGCATGAAAAGAGACCGTTACATTTGATTTGAACCCTCTGAACATTTCTTTGGAGGCCTGCATAGACATTAAGAGTATAGAAAAAATACATATTTGTATAAAAACACTTAAAGAATTATGTATCTGTCGTGCCACTGAAGAAATGTTATAAAATATACATTTTCCCCATTCAAACTGTTTCCTTTCAGCTGCAGCTTCACAGAGCATGCTCGGTCACTCTTCCTCTCACCTTGCTCTCCTTCAGGCGGTCCTCTTCTTTAATGGCGGGGATTATCTTTAGAGTGATGGAGCCCTGGGACTGGGACTAGATCACAAATAGACAGAGGAAGTAGAGGAGGGTGTGACTGAAGCCTGGGATTAAAGACAGACACTAAGTATACTTCACTTAAAAGGCTCCCTGAGGTGGATTAGAATTGTAATGGACTAACAGTGCACCCTGTTTATAAATAAATAAAAGATGATCGGAACATTTTAGGTGGGGATTTACCTCTAATCGAGTCTTAAGGTCTTTTTAGTTTATAGTTATACTGTATAGTATTTACCTGTGCTTCCTTCTGGGACAAATACCTTGTTTACAAATATACAAAACATGGGCAGAGCATTTTTTAGTTCAGCCTACTTATATATACTATACATTTCTTATTACAATGACATAATAATAATATCGTTTTTTAATATTTGAAAGTATAGAACTTGTGAAAAAAGTGTTTTTTGAAGAGTTTTTCTTGGGTTTAAAATAGGGCTGTCACGATTGGCAAAAGTATTACATTGAACACTAATAGTTATGGTATGGTGATCCAATGTTAATGGCATTAAATACACCAGAAATATCTTGAAAACAACTACTTTGAATTCAAAAAGTCCTGATTTTAATTGTTTTTATGCATGTTGATTTGATTCTGTCCCATATAATACATAATAATAATACAGATAATACAGATAACATTGATTATAATAAAGATAAGTACCAGTATTGTTATCTTTTGAAGATAAAATGGTTTTAAGTGCCCAGTTTAAATTGAAAATAATTGTTTCATTATATTTTATGTTGCCAATCTACAGCAGCCTTTCTTCAAATCTACATCAGAACGTTGGGCCTTACCAGCAGCTGACTGATCTCATCGGGCCTCTTCTGGATGACAGAGACTCCGTTGACCTCCCTGAGTTCATCTCCTACATGCACCAACCCTGTGAGGACGAGGGACCGCATGAAGACAGACTGCGCAGACAGACACATCAATGACAACAGAAGAGTCTTCCCTGGGTCTTTGGGGTTTATCACTCGTATCTAAAATCGTTGTCAGATCCACAGATACGAGCCGCGTCTATCATCAGCTGTGATCTATTTAGCTGCAGCCACAACAATGAAATCAAAGGCTGAGTGAAGTCAGATCAATACGCTTTCCCCTCAGGACAGAGAAGAACATAGCAGACACACTATTGTACAATCAAACTCAAATATAGTTTTCATTTACAAAGAGACCTGAGGCTGATTCTGAAATCACTCTACAGCTTCTGTCTCCACACTGACAAGAGCTGTTCCCATCACTTGACGCAGCAAGAAAACAGAGGAAGACATAAATGTATGCAAACACTGATTGGTTCAGTTGTCCATCATGCATATTTCCGTTTCCAATGCCAAACATACACCTTTATGTCGCTGAGATTTCCGATATTTCCATGGTAACGCCCATGAAAGGACCTTTGCTGAGTCTGTGTAGTGTGATTGATTCACTTCGCACTATCTCTGCTGCGTAGCTCTCACATTGGTCTCACTTTCATTACTGTATCAGGTTTTGATTTGTTGTTCCTTACATATACAGTATATTTTGTGTGAACAAGTGTCACTGATTTCCACTGGTTGCAAGAAGGCAAATGCCATCACACTGCTGAAAAAATCAGGAGCCTCCTGAGGTGTTTTGGCGGCTCATCTTCATGAAAGCTGCGTATTGGCCGACTTTCATGCTGTAAACGTTTTTGCATTTCCTGCTTCTGCGTTTTCTATTTCTTAAATGATTGGGCATTAGCAAAACATTTACCGAAAAAAAAAAGGATTTGCACATCTTTAACACAAAGCAATATCTACTAGGGACAGCTCGTCATAGGGTACACGTCCTTAAACTGTAAGTAAAAGATGTGGTGATTAAATTGTTATTAACCCGGCACAGAATGTTTTATTGGAACATTTTTAAAGCACTAGGGAGGTAAAATGTATTTAATTACTTTAACTACCCCTTGCCTTTGTTTAAGCCCTAAGGTTTGGAACTAAAGGTGCTGTTAGTCTATTGTTGAGACACAGCTTGTAGAAAGCCCAAAGGGACAAAATGAAAAGAAGCATCATCTACCACTTCGGTCGGCTGCTCCTCCTCTCATGATCCGAGCCACGACCACCACCCCAGTGGCTTCGTCCCGCCTGATGGTTGCTCCCTAAGGAACAGATCAACAACATCATGATCAGTAAAAAGCAGAAGGTCTGAATCCCATAATCCTTTTCATCCAGTTGTCCACTCTAAACCTTCACAACTCAGGGGGAGGTGTGTGGGGCAGTGGACTAGTGCGTTGGTGTTCGGATCAGGGGAGCACAGGTTCAAACCCCACTGCAGTCAGCATGTTGTTGTGTCCCTGGGCAAGACACTTCCCCCCAAATTGCTCCTGTGGGGATTGTCCACAGTATTGAGTATGTAAGTCGCTTTGGATAAAAGCGTCTAACATGTAATGTAACTCACCAGAGGCTCTTTGTTCTTCACCAGCCTCACAATCTTCACCGACTCTTCATCCAGCTCGTCCTCAAAGTCATCGGGGAGCGGTGGCAGCACAGGATCAAAGTTCTTCTGCGCCACCGTGTCATGCACCGAGAGCACGGCCTGATGGGACATAAGACAGACGTGCTGAGAATACGGTTCTGACATTAAGCGGCATAGGAGCAGGGACTGCAGCCAGATGTCTATAAACACCTTCAGAGAGGAACATTATTGTCTATAGGAAATCTGGCCACATGAATATACACTATTGCTACATCTCCTTACTTTCATACTACTGTATGACCAAAAGATAAAATCGTGTTTACCTTGAGATGTGGTGAGGACAGCAGGTGCAGCAGCTCCTTCTCCTCTGTGCTCATTGGTCCGCTCTGCAGCTCCTCTGTCACCTGCCAATCACAAACCAAATAAGCTGTGACCTGGTGTGAACCTGTGCATGTGTATACTGGTAATGCACACTGCAGTTTACTGGAGAATAATTGAAGATAGATTGACGGCAGACGTGAACACAGGGGAAGATAAGTAGCGGCTAAGGTCAGCAGTTTCCCCGCTGATAACTGGTAAGAGCGAGAGAGCAGCAGGATATGGAGTTTCATTAGATGGGCATCGGGATGATTCAGCACTTTGAGAACATTAAAATTCACTTTTGATACCGACATTGCTTTCTCTGTCGGGGCTAACTCATTGTGACTGACTTCTGTGCCCAAGTGGGGAAAAGTAATTTAGCTTGTGTGTGTGTGTGTGTGTGTGTGTGTGTGTGTGTGTGTGTGTGTGTGTGTGTGTGTGTGTGTGTGTGTGTGTGTGTGTGTGTGTGTGTGTGTGTGTGTGTGTGTGTGTGTGTGATGAACTTACATCCTCTGCCAGAGAAGAGGCACTGTGAAGGACGGGGGTTGGACTCTGTCTCTCATACTGTCTCAGCTTCTCATGGATCTGCAACACAATGACATGTTGTCTATTAGAGGGGAGGGTTTCAGGAATGAATGCAAAGTTTAAAAAGGACCACAAAATCCACTTAACAAACTTTTTTCCTGAGCATATTTTCAAATTGTGCATGTTAAAACAATGGTAGAAAGCTGTATAATATGTCTAAATGTAAATAATGTTACTTGTGAGATCAGACTTTGGCACTGAGTATTAACACTTCCTCACCTTCATCAGGTATCCCAAGCTCCTCTCACTGAAGACGTCTTTGAGGAAGACCATGTCCTCTTTGTGATTGGCGTCGGGCCGCAGCTGAGAGGTCAGCAGGGCCAACGTTTCATGAAGCCCTGCAGAGGAGAGGAATAAGAAAATACAACATGTTCATTAACATAAACAGATGGACCACAGCAAGCTTCCAGCAGTACGGGACAGTATGTGTGGAGCGTCTGTGCAAACTCCTCTCACCCGCTCCTGCTGTGAGGACCGGCATGGCTTCTTTCATGGGTCAGTGAGGTGAAGAGGGGAGGAAACCTGGGAGGAGGAGAACGAAAAAGTATTATCAACATTTCCATACAAATGCTTTCAGTCCAAGAGGATATAGGCCTACTTACAAAAAGGTAAAAAAGAAAAAGGTAATGGTATTTTTGATTGTGTGAGCGTGCACAACTGATGTAAAGGCATCCGGAGACCCATGTGCTATAATTATAGCCGTATATCATCTCCTTGTAGGCTTTATGCTGTAAATCCAGGCAACGTTTTTCTATATTGAAGTGCAGTAACCTCATATGCGCACATGTAGGTATGTATGCGCAAGTCAGCTGGCTCTATAGAGCCATACTACCAAGATAAACAGCCCTTGCTGGTACTATTAATCACGCCGAGGCTCAGCGGGCCCTGTGAGCGTTGTGTTGGTGTGTATGAGTGCAGGAGAGTGGGATTGTATCTGGCACAAAACCTACATGGAAATACTAGAGCTGTAATAAATAATTGGAGGTGTTGAAGCTTCATTCATCACTTTAACATTAAGGCTGTGCAGCTTTCATACTTTAGTAAGTCTTTTGTTCGAACCCTGTATTTATGGTGTTTGCAGATAAAGATTAGCCTCCAATAATATTATGAGTATTATACCTTTTGTAGAATAAGAATCTGGTGGTGGCTGCGCAGGATTGTTTCTGACTGCTCCAAAATGTCTAATAACAGTGCATTGCAAAGTCCAAAAGTCAAAATGTATAAAATAAAAGCATTTTCTTAAATTCACAAAATGTTATTATGAAATTAAATATTCTGCTTCAATCCAAGATTGTTGGCATTTGGACTTTAAAAAAAAAAGAAAAAAAAACATTGCTCTCCTGCTTTCTGCACACAGAGGGAGGCATGCACCTGTAATCATGCCGCAATCAAGCAACAATCTCACAGCACCATCATTAACATTTATACAACCACAATATTTTAATTAACAATTTCATTTAAGGGTTTTGAAATGTTTTATGCTATCACATTATAAAAAATACCAACAAAACGTAGGCTATACCATTTTTTCTTTTGAATACCTCAACAGGAGCTTCAAATGAAAAACAATGACATTTGGTACAGCCCTGGAAATAAAAAAAAGCTGTGTATCACACAGTACGACAGATAACTGCGGTAACAATTATTTCTGAATAACTAACATCTCATAAATCAGCGGTACGTACGACCCTCTCACACACAACTGCATGGGACAGTTATCTACATACAGTAGTTGCATACTAAGAACACCATTTTAGTTCTGTATAATGGACTACATTACATTTTCTTGCAGTATACACACACTGTAGAATAACTTTCTTTACACATCTGTATTCATATGCTGACAGATATAGGAGTGAGTCAAAAGATACTGTCAGCTAAAGCACTGCTGGATTATTGCAGCCACCACCAATCAATATCTCGTTACTCCAATCAATATTCTCCATACTTCCTGCCACTGGGAACACAAGTCAATAACATAAACCACAGACTTCATCATATTACGCTAGGAACCGATGAAAAACAGCAGCAAAACCAAAAATGCAGCAAACCCAAAAAAACAAAGCTGCTAAGGAGTATTAGCATATTGGAAGAAGTGGTAATAATTATAAATAAACAGTTTTGGTCTACAATAATGTTGAGGACATAGTTAACTATGGGCTTGTTTGAGATTATTTTTAAACACATCTATGTAGAGAATTACATATTCTACACATATTTCCTCAAAAGATGTACGTGTGTTGAATCTATTTAGAAAAGAGGCTTGAGCTGTCTGGCAGTATTGTGGTGGTCTGTTTAGTATGTGTACATAAAATAAACATAAGCTTTACAACGGATTAATTCAGTGTAGGGCTGTTTATGGGTCTGCCACTGTATGGAGGCCTGCCATGATGATGCATCTTGTATTGGTGTATTTCCTTGCATACAGACTACATTTTATGAATAATAAAGTTTACAAAACTGATTTTCTTTGTTCAGTGGCCACTATTCAATCAATAAATCTAGAAGCATGAACTGCTGGTTACCGAAGCGCCACACTGAACAGGTTTGTGGACTGTCAGTGTTTTGTATGACATGACATGGGCTAATGCACAGTATGGAGAAACAGGTGTATACAGTAGCAGTGGCATACAGGCAGCTTACAGTCAGTAACATGCAGGCAAGATGATCAGATACAAGAGCAAAGGGCTAAGGCAGGCAGGTGGCCGGGACAGGAACACGGCTGGAAACAAATGACATAGAAAATCCTGTTTATTTTGGGGCTAATGATAAGCATCTGTGCCTGTAGGTCGTATGGTGTTCAGACTGCAGTGGCAGCAAGACAACAGGTGAGAGATAGCAAGACTGCTAATGGAAACACAGACAAACTAAACAAAACAGGGTAAGATTAAGAAGAGAAGGACAGAGGAGATTAAGAAAGGTTACCTCAAACAGTCTATCAAGATGTGTGAAAGATGGGGAAAAGGCATCCTATACAGCTGCTTAAAGGCAACAAATGGTTTCTATTTTGCAGGAATGCACTTTTCTCTCTCCTCCCAAATCATTTCTAAAGTGTATCCTTGTGCTTTGAAGGTACATAATCAGAATATGATTAACCTCAGCAGAGACAGAGTGAGACAGCAATGAGCTCATGAATAATGCACAGAGAACATATTACAGAGCCAGAAAGAGGGATGAGGAGTAGATGAGGAGGGAGGCTGCTCTTCTATTTTGCCTTTGTTCTGTCAGGAGAATCAGTGGGTTCAACATACAAGAGAGAGTCTCTTTTTTTTCAAGTGTCAGCAAGGATTTTCTCCACAAAACCTCACTATATTTTACTCGGAGAGGATGGAATACAAATCGTTGTCAATACAGCGTCTCTATGGCAAAGTTCTTCACTCTGCATATCAATAATCACTTTCACTGATGTTTTATAACAATAACAAACATCTTCAGCAAAGACACCCTTCAAAAGTTTCCTACCATCTTCTCCCATCCATCTTGTGAAATTGTAGAGTTTCAGCGCTGGTTGTCTTGGTGGTGCCCAGCAAACAATGTGGGCTTCGTAAATAATTGGACAGCCTTCTGGGGAAAACCTGGTCTGATTAAGAGAGACGGCATTCATCCTACTTTGGAAGGTGCAAATCTCATTGCGGCAAACATTTCAGGGCTTTGTGGACTTAATCCATGACAAACTGGAGTTGAGACCAGGAGGCGGAGTCGCAGTCTTACACGCTTCTCTGCGCACTCTCCTGGGCAGTCATCGATAGGAATCCCGAACCCAAAAAAATACCCAATATTAACGGTGTGTGTGTCTGCCCAAGGACAATTTAAGGTAAAACCTAATAGAGGTGTCATACATAATAACCTAATAAAAGTAAATGTAACAACTACTACAGTGCAACAAAACAGGAAGATTACAGTAAATGTGGTCTCTTAAACATAAGATCTCTAGCATCTAAAGCAATATTGGTAAATGATTTAATATCAGATTATAATATTGATATATGCTGTCTCACTGAAACTTGGTTGAGACATGAAGAATATGTCAGCATAAATGAGGCCACTCCACCCAGCCATATCAATACTCATATTGCCCGAGGCACGGGCCGAGGAGGTGGAGTTGCAGCAATCTTTGACTCAAGTTTACTTATCAATACTAAACCAAAATTAAATGATACCTCCTTTGAAAGCCTCGTTTTTAGTCTTACGCATCCGACCTGGAAAACTTTGCAGCCAATCTTATTTGTTACAGTGTACCGTGCACCAGGTCCTTATTCAGAATTCTTATCAGAATTCTCTGAGTTTTTATCAACTTTGGTTCTTAAAACAGATAAAGTAATTATCGTAGGTGACTTTAATATTCATGTTGACTGTTACGACCCCCTCCACTCCACTAGAGGTCTCTGTCTTTGTGTTCTGCTTGCTGGCTCTTGTTTGTGTTTCAGGTGATCAACCTGATGAGCAACACCTGGGCCGTCTACATAAAAGGCCAACACCAACCCATACTGCGCTCTCACTCTTCTGTTGGACACGGCCGCGTCTTTGTTTCTGCACATTTTCACACACCCATACACGCAACCATTACTGATAACTGACTTCCACATTTATTAGGTTTCTTTGAAGACCTTTGGTTTTTGTGGTATTGTAAATAAATATGCTTTTTGTTACACTTAACTTGTCTAGTCTCCCATCTTTGTTGCAGCCTATGAGCCAGGCTGTAACAAATAGGGACTCGTCCGGGATCTGAACCTGGGACCTCTCGCCAGGCTGTAACATTGACGATGATAAAAATAGCCTTACTGTTGCATTTAACTCTATATTAGATTCTGTTGGTTTCTGTCAGAGTGTAAATAAACCAACCCACTGCTATAATCACACTCTCGACCTTGTTCTAACTTATGGTATTGAAATTGAGCAACTATTAGTCGAACCGCATAATCCTGCTTTATCCGACCATTTCTTAGTAACTTTTGAAGTACTGTTACTAGACTACAAAGCATTAGTCAAAAGCTCCTGCAGCAGAAACCTATCTGTTAGTGCTATAGCCAAATTTAAAGAATGTACACCACCCCAAATTGATCATGTTGTTGATAGTGCTATCGATGCGCTGCGAATCAAATTAGACTCTGTTGCTCCTTTGAAAAAGAAGAAAATAAAACAACATAGATTAGCTCCATGGCATAATGCCGAAACCCGCAAAATAAAGCAAAAGTCGAGACAACTTGAAAGGATATGGCGTTCCACTAAACTTGAAGAATCTCGTTTAATTTGGCATATTACTCTCAATGAATGTAAGAAAGCACTGCGTAAAGCGAGAGCAGCTTACTACTCTTCATTAATAGATGAGAATAAGAATAATGCAATATTTATTTTCAGCACTGTAGCCAGGCTGACAGAGAGCCATAGCTCGATTGAGCCTTATATTCCCATAGCACTCAGTAGTAGTGATTTTATGTGCTTTTTTAACGATAAAATTGTTACTCTTAGAAACAAAATTAATGACCTCTTGCCTTTCACCAGTATAGTGTTATCAACAGCTC